CTCTCTCTCTCTCTCTCTCTCTCTCTCTCTCTCTCTCTCTCTCTCTCGATCGATTATTACTGCAAAACAATGCAAACACATTTTATTAATCTTATTTCCTTCTCAACCATTCATCGCCCAGCAACCATTTGATAACCATCTTGCTCTTTCGAACTGCGATCCCTTTTGTTTCACGCAACAGACAATTGGATAATGGACCTGCATAATTTATTTCGCCTTTACATCGCAATATATTAGTTAGACGAGAGAATTAAATTTACTATTTTACATATTCGGAAAAACAATGAATGAAAAACCATCAAAATGAAATTGTTACCGCGTGTAGTGATCCCTTAAATTAGTATTTAAATCTCAATATTTTATTTCTTATCTATTTAATAAAGTATTTAAAAAAGGTTCAGCTTTAACATGTATATTTTGATAAGAAAGTGCATTTGCTACATAGACAAACAAAATTCATTACAAGTTAGTCATCATGAACTTCAAACTTTGATGAGGCTCGTTAATTTTCTCATCAAACTGGTCTAACCATAGTAAAACTTTACGATGAAGACGTCTTTTATGTTGGCAAAAAATGTTTTAGTTTCAATCACATTTTCGTATATATCAAACAAAAACTCATGAATTTTTAAAAATAATTTTAGAGAAACAGGCCTTATAAATGATTAAGAAATAAAGCGCAAAAACAGTCCCAAATTTTTCTTTCAACTCTCATACGAACTTTGACATTTTTTTGGACAACACCATTTTCTTACGTTGACCGTAATATTTAAAACCACATAATCATTTTCTACTATAATTTCTTATAATTTTGTGCGTGTCATGGAAGCGAAGGGCTATGGAATCGAATACAAATGTGTACATTTGTGTATTCTGATCAACAAGAGGAATAGGCATTTGTTTAGACAAAATGCGCCTTGAAGGTCATGACTAAAATGATTTTTTTTCGAATCGGATTGGTTGGTTTGGTGAGTCGGTTACGGTAAATTAATCACGCCATTGTATCTAAACGGAACATGAAAACTGTTTATTCATGTGGCGATATGGAGTGAAGATCGTATTTGCGGTGGATGTCAAATGAATGTTCATTGTTGTTCTGTTGCTTCCAGTGAAAATGAAAATTGACGCAAGTCAAACAAGCAACAGGTTCATTTGTGGATATAGTATGAATTGTCTTTTGACCGCAGGGCTTAATGTGAAATGTTGAATCGTCTATCTATCAGCGAGAAAACAATTAAATCATTTGAAATGCGGTATTTTTTCACATTTTTTACCAAAGGACAAAAGTATAAGCGCTAGTACCGGTCGATCTCGATAAATAAATCGGATTTTCCTGTGAAAATTGGCTCATTGGAAAGTTTTCAATGAAAACTGTGGTAAGTACTTCTCAGAGGATTAATTAGCCAATTGATTAATAGCCGTTGACTTTCTTTATTTGTCTTCAAATTTCCCCCAAAAAGAGTGCTTCACATGGAAAATGACGTGATTCACTTTATAGAAATCAACTTCGTTCCACATCAAGCAAAATTAAGTGAGTCACTGTGAAGCGGATAATCCATTTTTATCTGTCGTAACTATCGTGAACAGTGTTCACTTTAATCGATATTTTATGTATATCTCGGTTGAATGCAACGATAACAAATACAGCACATGCGGTATGTATAATGTACATTGTTCTCATTACGGAATGAATAAAAGCAAGAGAAAATCAGTCTACAAAAGCAAACTGTTAACATTTCGAAGTAAACAAAGTTCTTAGTTCTCGTTTATCTTTCTGTCGATTTCTTTTAACAATGCAAACTGCTTCCCAAGAGAAGTAACCAATCCACACTAATGGAATCTTTAGTTACAAAAGCATCGTTTGCTTTAAAACTTTTATTTTTTTTCTACTTTTTTGTTTGATCATATGCTTTCGATGTGATTTGAATCAATTTGTTTGTAAAATGGAGTAAAATCAGTAGTCTTTTTGCTTTTTACCTTTCGTATCCGATTTCATGCCAACACTGACCATAAATGTATCCAAGGCATTTTGCATACCAATTTTGTTTTTCGACCGTCTCCATCGACGCACTGAGTGCTTGAAAGAAAGCATTTTTAATCAGAAAAGATACCGTTATAGATGACTTTTACACCCTCTGTTGCTTTGCGTGCTAATGATTAAATTGGTTATTGCGCAAACTCTGCATTTTCATGCGGTCCTTCATTTTCAATGAAAATTTGTTAATTCCATGATGTTTTTATCTTGCATTTGTATGTGTGTGCACGACATTTGTTTTTACAATAGTATTTGTTATGTCAAATGTGGGGTTGAAACTGAATTCATAACTATTCGCACTGTTTTCACCCGAAAATCAATACCATATCAAACCGACTGACATTGTTCGGGTGTCTGTGTTTGTGCGTGTCCCATGTGTGTGTAATAGAGTTTTCCATTTGGATACATCCAAGTAGTGGTATTTTTTACTACAAAAAAAAAAACGAAAACAAAATTTTCATCCAATTCATTGTCGACGTCGGATTCGTGTTCGTCATCATCATTTCGCGTTTTCTGCGTACCAACTAGAACGCGAAAAACTTAAATAAACACAATACCAAATATTCAATAGTTTTTTTCTTTCTTTTTGTTCATTTGTTAATTTATGTTGGGCGCAATTTTAGTTTCGTTTTATTTAGGAAAAGTGATTTAGAAAAAATAAAAACGATAATAAATAAAAGATTTAGTGAAATTCAACGATGGCTGACACAGAATTTGAAGAGTTTCGAAAGACATTCGAACGAATACCAAGCGCATCAAAGACAACAGCACCATTTTACTCGTAAGGCATTTTTCGCATTATTATTCTAGTCCGTCCGATTTTATTTGATAATATGTACAAAGTGGTTGAGAGAAGAAAGTGGTGAACAGGAGGCAATGAAGGGAATAAAATTATCCATCATATCTGTTTGTGTAATTTGCAAGGATAAAGGACGACAGGTGATACACAAAGCGATGCAAATAATAAAAAACGGTAGATATGAAATGAGGACAAAATACAAAATAAAAATTAGATTATTAAAATAGTGTGTGAAAGGTGTGATGGGTTTTTATTTTTTCGTTTAAGTAAAACTATAAATATCGAGAAGAAATTATGACAACAAATTGGATTTGCAAAATGATTCTTTCTCACTTAATTCTATCGATGTGCAATTCACTTTTCACTTCTTCTAAAACAATAGGAAATAATCGATAAATGAAACTTTAGAACGGTATGTGCTTTACATAGACACAGTCATTGAAAACAACACGGTTTGTCCGAATTTGCGAGCAATAATCTTTCATCGATTATTTTGAAGCGGAACCCACTACATGCAATGTGATTTTTTTCCCTTTATTCCTCTCCATTTGCTACCGACCCAATAAAATGACACCGTATTGAATGAAAAATTCATAATACTGTGTTTTATGATGGACTTTTGCAATTGGTAGAGGTGTTGCGCTTTTTTTTGATTATTATTTATTTATCTGTTTACAGAATTGTGCCCAGTTTGGAAGACGACGACGAATCACCCACATCAAAGAGTGATGCATCTGATGGAAATGATGAAAATGATTTGAAATCAGTAAATGTAACAATACAATCACCGAAATTCATAAAAAATGCGGGTTGCAATACATTGGGTAGTTTAAAATGCTTGCTTACGAATCCCGAAGAAGACGATGAAATCGGCGACGGCTTACGAACGACGACGACGACGGCCACAACAACCAGCACAACATCACCAGAAACGGCAGCCAGCTCGACAACCGATACAATTGATATGAGTCAAACGAATCTTGGCGATCGAATACATCAGCAACAACCATTTACAACAGGGAAAGTCGAACGACGTCGTCGAAAACTTCCCGAAATTCCCAAGAATAAAAGATGTAAGATATGTTTCAAAACAATTTTATGTACCATCAATAATTTACAATAATTTTTATCGCATGCAAATAATTTAAATATGAATCTCGTCATTTTCTTTTGTCCATCCATTGTGGTGTTTAGCTTCCATATTAGTGAATAGTGGTCAATCATCGTTGGCCGATGAACTGAGCTCAAATGCAATAGGAAATCATCATCAGTCAATCAATAGTGCATTGTGCCAGCGAATGCTAGCACGTAAATGTGGTTATCTACTTGATGAAGATTCAAGTCCCGATTCAGATCGTTTACATAGTTTGGGAGACGTTGATTCCGGAAATTCAACAGCTCATTCACCGGCAGATTTAAAAAGTTTATCACCGCAATTGGCAATGTCGCCAACATCACATTCACCATTTCCACCGCCATTTGGCGGTGTACCGTATAGCCAATTGGAAATGCTCGAAGCAACTCATCGTGGATTACATAAATTTAATCCACGTCATCATGATGAAATCGATATTGAAATCGGTGATCCGATTTATGTGCAAAAAGAAGCGGACGATTTATGGTGTGAAGGTGTCAATTTACGTACAGGCCGACAAGGTATATTCCCATCAGCGTATGCCGTCGATTTGGAATACAATGACTTCGATCCAAATGCACAAAAAGTGAAAAAAGAACGATATCTACTCGGTTATATGGGTTCAGTTGAAACAATGGCACACAAAGGTACCGGAGTCGTTTGTCAAGCTGTACGGAAAATTGTTGGCGAATGCGGCGAATCGCCAAGCATTCAAGTGTGCATTTTAGAAATATCCGATCAAGGCTTACGCATGGTTGAACGAGCATCAACAGTATGTATTTCATTTTTAATGTTTAGAATCGGTTAATTTCTAATCAACGCAAATAATTTCTCGTTTTAAGAACAAGGATAAGAAGAGACCATGCATAGATTACTTTTATTCGCTCAAAAATGTATCGTTTTGTGCATTTCATCCACGAGATCATCGCTACATTGGATTCATCACAAAGCATCCGACAATACAACGTTTTGCGTGCCATGTTTTCAAAGGGCAAGAATCAACACGACCTGTAGCTGAAGCTGTCGGGTAATTTGTTTTTATTTTTATTTTGTTAATCTTTAGTCAACCATTATTTTCAATTTAATATCTAATCCATTTTCTTTGTTGATGTTTCTTGTTGTCATTTTGCAGTCGCGCATTTCAACGTTTCTACCAGAAGTTTATCGAAACGGCTTATCCTATCGAAGATATTTATATTGAGTGAATGGTGTGAATGTTAAAAATACAAAAAGGATGTTAGCTTAACTATATATCATTTTCACTAGTTTCAATTGTTTAATAAACTGGAACGACACAAGTAGCAAAACAAAGCCAAATAAGAAGCAAAAATATCTTACGTCAAAATGTACTTATTTAACTGAACTTAGTGTATCATTTCATTTTATAAAATATTCGATATTTCGCATCGATTAGAGGATGTCAAAATGGTGATGAACGAAAAAATAAAATCATTGGTTCATCCGAACGATCAATAACATATAATATTTTGGTGAACTTCAAATAAGAGAATATATCGAGCTAATTTAAAAAAAAAAATCTCTAGTTATTCATCTTGACTTAACTAAATATACAGCAACATGTTATCACCAATTCTCATCATGTCACTTCTCATGAAATCATCGTATTCTTTTCGCTCAATTCATAGTTATTGTCAACAAATATTTTTCGGTTATTAGTGACTTGACGAACAAACGTCGTTTTCTATCACACTCTTTTTCGGCTGTGGATTTTGCGCGTGAGTAAATTCTATAACTTTTTTTTTGTAAATTGTCTCATGATGAAAGAGCAGCGCAGAGAACATTTTCTTTTATTATTAATTTCGCAAAATTCATGACAGAAAAAAAGTGAACGCTATTTATGAACTTATCGATAGTTGTAACATTCATCAACCATACAATTCAAAGTGGTTGAAAATCAACAAAAAATTTATATCTCAAAATGTGGAATATATTTTTTTATAAGCATATTTTGAATGAATCCACATCATCAACACTAATTTCATTGCATTCAATTTGCAAGAGAGAAACAAATATCTATGAGAGTCCTATTTTTTTGAAGTAATCAAAATTGTTGAGTTGAATTTATTAAGGAGCTAAAATTAATAGTCAATTCAATCGCGTGAAAATGCAAACAAAATTCATGGGAATTTGAAAAAAAAAATGAATCAAAATAAGTGCTATATCGACTCCATTATAATTGGATGCTTTAAAAAAAACCAGTTTACTCTATTGTTCAAATTTTAATATTTAAACTTAAAAAAAATACTCTTCAGACAGTATCGAAATGCATCCGAACTCTTTTTTTACTTTTTGTTTTTACAAACATTAAATAAATTTCAAAATAAACTCCAACAAACTCGAAATAAAGGTGTTATAATTAGACAATTTAATATTTAATTCAATATATTCTGTCTTTCAACTCATCACTTGTTTTGTTCGGTCCATTTCTTTTCCTATATCCACTTGAATTGTGTACATATTCCACTTCAAACAAATTGTAAAACACGTATACAACAAATTAAAAAAAAAAAAAACAATACAAACTAACATATGCATATTAAATACAATAATAACATCTAAATATATACAGTAGCACATCGTGTTGGGTCAACTTGGTTATAATATAGAATTGTTATTTGAAGATGGTATTTAAAAAAACTGATTTTGTACTAAATGCTCTTTAATCTGATTTTCAACGCGAGCTAGCTCCAATTACATAGACAGACAATTGTGCCAGAGTACAAAACAAATAACACGGAAATGGTTAACAGGAAACATCGCAACGAGCGATCAATAACACATTCCACATTTAAAGGATGAGGTTGTTGTTGTTGTTTCATTCATTGGCTAGTTTGCTGTAAAAAAATACAATATTTGGCAACTACCAATAAATGTTACCATTTTGTTTCGTTAGTATCGAAAAAAGGAGAAAAACAAGCAACAGATTGATTAAGATAATTAACTATAAAAGTCAATCATCAAGAAATCTTTATTTAAAACCAATTAGAACCACAAGAAGCAAAAACAAATAATATTCACGTTTAAAGAGCAGAAAAAAATTTATCAAATACGTTTAATCCATTAAGAATATTTACCATTTTATGGTCTCATAAAAAATACATACATTGACACAAACAATGAATTGCAATAAAGAAAAAGATGGCAATCTCACTGAATATAATACATGGATTTTTCAATATATTTTTGGTTATTTTTCAAAGGCTGGCAGAATTCGAGTAGAGAATTAAAGACTTGGGGCGACAATTCAAACACGCTTGAGTTTTTTTTTATTTCACATTTATTTGATTGCTTTATATTGGAGTGAGAGGAAAACATAGAAATACATAATAATGTTTATTAAGTATTATATTATAATATTTATTTCAACAAAATAATGAGATACACTGAAGAACTAACCGATTTTTTTTTAACACATTGATTTTTTTTTTCATTTTCTTCTGTTCCACTTATTTGCGTGGCGAACACATCATTTCAGTTGTTTTAATTTTCAATGCCATTGATTCTCAAATATCAAATGTTTCAATTTTATTTTGTTCATTTTTTTTTTTTTTTCAATTTTCAGAATATTTATTTTTTTCCTTAAATGCTAAAAATACCGACAAAATAATTATTTACAATAAATTAATTAATTAAAAAGGAAAGGTGAAACGCACAGGTAAATAAATTCTAGGTGGACGAAAAAGAAATAATAATAAGTGGCAGTTTCAATTTTGAATGCGTAAAAAAAGTATATAAAAAATAAAATACGAAAAGTATAAATAATAATCCAAATTACTATAAGTGTAAATGAAAAATAAATTATTTTCTTTGTGAGTGTGTATGTTGGGCTTGGCCTTGGCATATGGGCAGTTATTTTGATTTTTGAAACTATTGGACAACAAGGCAAAGGGCGTTTTTATTTTGATTTTTTTTATAGTAACAAAGAAAAAAAAATATCGTGAGAAAAAAAATGTGTGGGTGGGTGTGTGTGTGTGTGGTTTCAAATTAAAAGCGAGTGCTGTGAAATGTAATAAACACAAAACTAACTGATGTCTAAATTCGAACAGTAGATAAAATATCCATATAAATGGAACCACTGGAAAGAGATTATATAGTATACATTTTTTTAACTTACTTTAACTAACATACATCTACATCAAAAAATATATGCCTGTATTATTGTTCAAAGTGTTCAATTTGATTTTCACCTTTTTTTTAATCTGCAAAACTGTGTTTGCATTTTTCGATTTCTCACAACGCTTTTTTCTTCTTTAAATAAAATGGTCTGTTAGTTTATCGGGTGTGCCGATTCTGAAATGGCAATCACTCCGATATATATTGAAAAAGGTGAAAGAAATTGTGAATTTATTTATATATTGTTTGTTTGTTGTTGTTATTTTTTTTTCTTTTTTTCTGTTGCTGGTCGTTCAAGGGAAAGAAACATTTAACAACCTGGATGCTTGAGCTTACCAATGGCATTGGTTAAATGTAACATTTCGGTGTTCAGTTGTGATACAAGTGTTTCGAGTTTGTCAACCGAATCCAAAATTTCGACGCGTTCAGTGTGTGGATTGAAACGAACTTCAAATGGTCGTGACATGGTGGACACCCAACGACGGAATTTCTCTTTGGCATCTTCGAAACTTTCGGCCACATAATAAATTGGTTGATATTCTTGATCTTGATATGGTTGTACAGCTGTGCTGGCCGGTTCAAATGCGCGCAATTCGGGTTTGCCGCTCAATGCATGCAATAGTTCACCGTACGATGACAATAAACCAGCACCATAGGCCTTGACATCTTTGCTGCCAGCTTCTTTGCAGAGACCAAATTCAACAGTGAACCAATAGACCTATATATATTTCAAACGAATGAAAGAAAGATCGCAAAAATGTAATTAGTTAAACATTTTAATTATGATTTGTTCATTTGTGAGTGATCATATTTTGTGAATTGTAACTGGCGATAATAAGCGATAAAACCGTTTATTTTAATATTTGTTGGATATGCAACTTTGATTTTCGATATGAATGCGACACGCTCTATTGATTTCATTCACCTTCAGTGCGATTGTGTCGATACGCTACTATATTTTTATGACCGTACGGATTCATGAAACTATATCGATCGATCGATATCAATTTGCCTCATCAATATCTTGCCCACTGTACAGAAAACACATTCAAATAAAATTTCAAGCAATTAAAACTAATTACAATTGAATATTATTTAGAAGTCGACGAATAAATCAAGAATTTCTGGTACGAAGCAAATTAATCGGTAGAGTAGTTCCGTTTCACTTTTATACGCTTTGGAAAACATTTGACCATTTTTATCATTCAAAGTTTTATTCTCTCACCGTGACATATTCTACACTGTGTATTATCGGTTTCCAATATCATTGTGAATGGTTCATTTGTTCGTTTTCAATTTCAAATTATTCGGTTTCAAAGTGCAAATTAGTTAAATATCAATTTGTGTTTTTGGCATTTATTTGAATGATTATAGGTCCGTAAGTAATCGTAACAAGTAGGGTATTCACATTTTAGCTCTGTATTGCACTAAAATAACTACATAAAAAAAAATACTTTCAAACGATAAATAAAAAACGATGAAGAAGTAGAGGAGAGGCAATGTTTCCAATGGCATGCATGGCACATAAATCAATAACTCAATCACCGCTACCTCATACGCATGGTGCCTTCAAGTTATGCAGAAGTGGCTTTTCATTCGTCTCATTTGCCGCTTGTTTCATTATGTATATGTGATGTAGTATTCTTGACATTCACCGTTTACCTTGGTGTAAACGATCAAGCGGCCATAAAAAGCAATTTCATACGCAAAATGCACACATAACATTTAGAACATGAACGATTGTCATTGATTTTTGTTAGATCAATTTTCACCGTGGAATGCATAACCATTCAATGTTGCTATTTCTCTTTGTTTTCTTAATGTTTCTTTTTTCGGTAACTAATTTAATCACTTTTTGAAAAACAAAAGTTATAATACATTGAAGAAAATGGGGGAACTCTCGAAAGTTGAAGAAATGATAAATGTCTTGTTCCACTGTCGCATGTGTGAAGCGCAATCACGACAACAGTTATACACAAAGAAAGAGAATGACTTCCATATTTTTGGATTTCGTTTCAACATTTTCGTTCATAATGAATGATGAAAACAAGTTATTTAACGCTCTCCGGTGTCGAATGTTGCGCTGCCAAATACAATTAATTTATTACATATCTGTATTAATGAATAAATCTACGTTTCTTTCACGTTTTTAAATTGAAAGAAAAAAAAACCAATAAGGCTCACTACTTCTCACATATAGTACATTGTGTGTGTGTGTGTGTTTGTCACATGTTTTCTGGATTCCTTTTTCTCTCTCTTTCCTTCTTTTATTTTCCTTTTTTGTATGTGCTAATCTCACTTTGAACTTGCCGTTCACCAATTTCACTTTTCGTAGATTACATTCGAATCAATCACAAAAATAAAATGAATTCCAATGCAATTGGGTCAAGTTGGCTTTGTCATTATAATGAATATTCGGTTATTGCCACCATGAATGATAAAAAAACGTCATCAAAAATTCCAATACGATAAACATGTATTTATACTGTTTTTTTTTATCAGAAATTCTATTGTTGTTAAAATTTACTATTATATATATATCGCTCGGAAATGTTCATACATTTACTAAGTCACATATAGGCATAAATGTATTCTTTATGTATGTAATTTCACAAACAAAAATGTACTTACCGTTGACAATTTTTCGATTTCTTCATCGGATGCGCCGAGCGATGCCAATCCAATTTCTTGGGAGAATTGTGCGAAATTTGTATCAGCCAATAATGGCATGTGTCCCAAAAGTTCATGAATGCAATCACTGTGTAAATGAAGAAAAAAAAATGAAACCATAAATACGTTTTTGTAAATGCCTCAAATCAATTGAAATTTCATTTTAAAAGTTGCATTGTGCTTTTAATCATATTTCATACTCTGCGATGGTGCCACTTGTCGAATGAATTTGCTTAAAAATGAAGTACCTCATATATAATTTCAAGATCGTGGCAACTCAAACAATTCATAAAATCATGAACTTGAATGTTTTATAGTTTAGCGGTTAAAATGGTCAAAAACAAACCATTAAGTCACCATGAAACGAATTCTACCATAAAATCGGTACAATCGGTTCATTCAACTCTTAGTAGATATATAGGTAGTAAATTGGCTTCTGATTTCAAAGAGACAATCCGTCAAATTAATTTTTTGAATTTGGCAAGCACTTGAAAATGGCTCGTGGGGATCAGATTTATATGGATAAAGAATGTAATTGAATAAAAAGGGGAGCGAATAAAATATCTCAACAAAATCCGATTATAACATAAATTACACCGATAAAGATGGCATTGCTATAACAAATTCCCATCTAAGAGAATATTAACCGACTTAAGTGAATTATAATTGTTGCATTTTTTCCTATTCCATGTCAATTCTTGTTTTCGGGTAAAAAAATGGAGCATCATCATGGAGTATGGAGCATCATCAGTTGGTTGACGGTGCCATTAGATAGAAAGAACGTTGTACATCACAGTAGATACATGAAGTTGACATCTACTTTGGTTCTATTTTTTTGTGTTGGTTTGCATCACTTCTATTTAGTCTGTTTCGTCTTTCGATATGGGATAATTGAATTATATAGATGATGATGTAAACGAATATCGATTTTCAGTATAATTTCCCTTTTACAAGTCATTTTGCATCGAATATTGGACAATGCAAAGTATGTAGTTTAAGAAAATTACATTAGAAATTAAATTGAGTTATAAATATGAATTCGTTTAGTTGTTCTATCCATATCGATGTCAAACCGTGCTTCAACTATCGCAACCGTGTACGCAACAAGCACCTATTCGAACTAGTTTTGTGACATAAAATATCAGATATTTGACAAATTCCAATATTATCTTCTCTGAACAATGTTTGTTTTGTTTTTTGTTATGAATATGGCCAAAAAAAAAATGTTTTTGATTAAATTGTATTTTGAATTGACTGTGCTTTAAAAAGTATAAATAGTGCAAGTGAAGTAAGTAAATTTTCTGTGTATCGAAAGTGCTCAGCAGCTCAATGAATAAAATATTTGCGACACTTTGAATGGTTTCTGTATGTTTCAGAGTCTCAATGTGCAATATTTCTGCGTATAATATTCAACTTGTTGCTCTTTGTCTTCGTTCGATGTGAACATCAAAGCGTTTCCGTTTTTCTCCGGTTCAGTTCGACAAGTGTGAAAATGGGCAATTCAAAAATTGTCTGTGCTCTTTTGTGTGTAGCATATGAATGCCGTTCGGAAATAAGACATTTATATCTAGCAACGTATAGAGAAATCACGCGTAACATCGTCAATTGAATCAAATGCTTCGCACACAAAACGAAAACAAAGTAGAAAAGCGAGAGAGTATGGTGAGTGATGTCAAAAAAAGAACAACGGGAAAATATTAAGTGAGTGCAAAAGAGCTTTAATACCGTTTCCGACCAATTTCCCACTTCCATTGCCATCAAATAGAAGCAGTGATCCGAACATGACCGTTTCCAACAGTTGATATAATTCTCTTTATTTTTCGGTCCCCTTCGCTATGATTCTAGCTATGGTTGGTATCAACGCAAGTCGTTGCATTTGTCTTCAATATAATTCTATTGTCGGTTGTATTGTCGCACATCACATTCCATTCGCCATTTTCAATCATATTTAAATTCACCACCGCGAAACGAAGAATTGCGATAAAATATCACTTCTTTTTTTGCCTCTACTCAAAGTGCAAATTAAATGATATTTTACTCAATGTTTTATTCACTTCATATTGTTAATGGTAGCACAATAAAAAAGGGTCTCCATATTTCTTTGTCTAAAATTGAATTTTCTACACAGTTGTGAAGAAATATAAGTTTGGGCATTGCATATTCATTTAAAATTATGCACATTTATGCCTCGAAACAATCGGAATGATTGAATGAACGATAACTATTTTCGTAACAATTGACACTGTGTAATTTGATAAGAATTTCAATTCCAAAATTGTACTTACGGTTCGGGTGTATGGTATGGTGAGTTTACATGACGAACGTATTGTGTGCTTTGGAAAATACGGAATGCCAACGATGCCAAAAAGTCACGTGCTGTTAAGAGACCAGCTGCTGGACGTAATGTAAATCCGGTACTTTTTCGCAAGAAATTGCTCATTTCCTCCAATTGTGGAATGTGATCCTCAACAAAAATGTTTTCAGCTTGAAGTTTTGCGAATACAGCACGGTACTCGGCACATGCATGCTTTGGCATTAATTCCAATACGGTACGGAATACAGCGCGCCAAGTTTGATTTTCGATTTCGGTGTAATCGATGTGAGGAATTGCATCACCACTATAAAATTCCATAACAAACACACATTTGAATTAAATAAAGCGATAAAAACAACGAAAAAAAATGAAGGAAAGGTATGATATCCAATGGAAATATTTTGAGCAGCTAACCATAATCATAACGAACATCAATGAAGTTTGACGTTTTTTTTTTTGTTGGGTTCATACGAGCAAATCACATTCGAACGCACACATAACAGACATAAGGGAATAAGCATTTGCTTGTAAAAGACAGATTGTCTTCATTTCCATTGAGTCTCTCACATTGTGGCTAGAAGTTGTGTACGTGCTCAAAATGTATACCCCACTCAGATATTATGACATCAAAAACAAAAAAGAAAACCGCAAAACTCCTCAATTTAATTTATCATCAGTATAATTTTAATCGGCTTACTTCATCTTTCTTTCTATCTATCCATAATCGCACACGCACATATATGTATGAAGGATATAGAGAAAAAAAAACTCAGTTGACTTACTATTTGTAGGCGAATGCAATTTCAGCAATTTCTTTGCGTCGCTGACGATAGACCTTGTCAGCAAAACCTGGATGGCTCATATCTAATTCGGGTTCGTATTTGGTCATCAAATGGTTGCAATTGTCCAATTCGGATGCGTGTTTTGGGAACCATGGTGCTTTAACATTTATCGAATTTTCAGCGACTAAATTAACGCCACCGAATGAATTGGTTTGACGCAATGAACGAATCAATTGCAATAGATTTGTTCGTGACACATCTACTTTGACAAGCACATCATATTGAACACCATCTTCGTGTGATGGTCGTGATTCCAAATGAATAATGGTTCCATGGAATGTTTCAATGGCTTTCAAAATGCGTCCCAATGAGCTCATTCCATCGCGAAGACGAACCACAATTGCAGCACGTTGTACGGCCCTTTCAGCCTCTGGTGATTCTGAGGCCGCATTTGCAATTACAACTTCTTCTTCGGTGAGTCCGGCATCTAAATGGATTTACCAAAAAAAAAATACATTACAAAATATTGAGCAAAACTGGAATCATAAGTTTCGCGACACACGCAAAAAAAAAATGGAAAATATAATCCGTCTAAATCTATTGCTTTTCATGTGTGGGTTCAACTTATTGTTGCTTCATTGTCCAACTTCAACTGAATTTATGTGACTATGCCGAATTGGCTGATGAAGACGACTGATGACTTTTTTCTCTCTTCATCAAATACTCTCCATTTACTTGGTGCTGAATGCTCACTATTCTCAAGCTATTTCTAAAAATAGCAAGACAACACTGTCGCATGCGAATCAACGCGTATAAAAAATTATGCTTTTGCTTTAATGTGAAATCATCATAAAAATTACATGTAATATTCCGTTGGCAAGGAAGAATGGCATTGAAGTAAAGTGGTTCAACTGTTGCTTGTGTCGTTTTGACGATTATGGAAAGTATTAAATTTTAATGTATGTGCAGAGAGAGAGAGAAGAGAGCATCCACTTTTATTGAATCCAACATACTATGAACTGGGAGCATTTTGACGCGTGGGCATCGAATGCATTAACCCATTTCGCAAATCCTTCATTTTCGCAAAGAAATCCATATATACCGAAAGAAGTAGCAAAAGTATGGTGAGTAAATCATTTCATATGAGCAACAATAAGGGAGAACAAAGAGGTGCCTCTTACACTAGATGCTGAGACGAATCACGTACAATCACATTGGCCGGTAGCTTTCGCAGTCGAGCGTATAAAATGGAATGGTTGTTGTTTTTTTTTGTTGCTATATTTCTTTGCTGCTTTTCAAATACATGCCACAAATACGAATGTGTAAAGTGTTTCAATACCATTTGGTAGAAGGTTTTCGCATCTTTTATTGTTTCCATTTCAAATGATGAATTATTGTATATTATTAGAACTTTTTGACGTGTAAATAAGTGTGTTGATAATGACAGAGATCACACCAAATCATGATTCATTCATAAATTTTCTTTGGATCGTTTTATTTGTGTTCGCATCCAAACTGGGTTTCTATTTCGATCCAATATAGCATTCAATTTGATTCGATAAATTAATTTGTTATCCCTATATGACTTACCATTTGGACCATCCACCTCATCGACATCGCTAAAGTAAGTTTCACTATTATTCAATGGATTATCGGCTATATATTTCCGATTGAAGCGCCAAATAAAAACATTAGAAAAACATAAAAAAAAAACAAATTAAGAAAGAAAAATGAAATGAAAAGTCAATGAAGAAAAAAATACGAAAAAGAAATGAAAATAAATCATAAAATTAAAAAACAAAACAAAATCATAAGTTAAAATCAAAATAAATACCATTTTCTACAGTTTCATCATTGAACACATCAGGTATTTTATTCTGAGCATCATCTGTACAAAAATGCATTAAAATAACATTGGTTTGTTAATAAAGTGAAAATGTTTGTCGCAAGCAAAAAGACCGATGAAATGATAGTTACCATATTTTTGCTCTTGAGTATTGGCTTGAGTGACACTGCTTGTGTTCAAGTCTGAATCGGAATAAAATTAAAACGAAAAATTCAAAAATAACTCAACAAAAAAAAGTTCAAACAAACAAAAAATCGCAAATCAAAAAAAAACTTTTGGGCGCATCTTTATTTTGAGCGACTTTGTTTTTTTCGAAGATAAAAAAAATCATCGCAATGATTTCTATGAATTTATCAACGTAATTTTACTCACCATTAGCCTTTTCGCGAGCCTCTTCAAGCACAGATTCTTTGGTTTGCTTGACCACAATTGTTTCAAAACGAGCATCATCGACAAGTGAACGGCGTCTTGATGGATATCCATTCTGTTAAATAAACGAATATAAAATAAAACATTGTTAAACAAATCTGAATTGAAATTATAGAATTTGCGTACAAATATAACGATAACTATGGCATCGGTATTGAATTCGAATAACATATTTTTTACGATGAATGAGATCTAGATCAATAGGATTTAGTAGGGAGTTTGAAGAACACCAAATGTCATTCACATCCACTTCAGTTTTTCATTTATTTTATTCAAATGTGGTGTACACATCATCACCATTTTTTCAATAATAAAACACATGATAAATTTACTTTTTTTAAGCTCATTGTAAACATTTTGAACGAATGTCGCCGACATTATAATCATATGATTGCCATAATTTTATTGAAATTTTATGCAAATATTGGAATAGCAAATCGACATGCTATGATAAATGTGTATGCAATACTATGAATGCCTCATTTGATAATGTCATGTGAAATTTAGAATTATGCCGCTCATTTTTTTGGTTCTTTTTTTCTTTGCTCATGAAATGAAACATATTTGATTTGGCAATTTAAAAAATGATCTCGATGTTCATTCGGGATCAATTGTTGTTGCTATTATGGCAAGTCGGTGTTTATTTTACTTGTAAATCAAGATGTATTTTATACGTGTTTTGATGTTATAGATATCACTTCAAAAATGTGCTCCCATCGATTGAGCATTGCTGACGACAGGTGAACAAAGTATATTTAAAGAAAAAAAAAATCTATATGAAAACAAAGCAACGGCGCCACTCGAATGCTATGCCGAACAATCGGAGTAGATATTTTAAATCAATTATGAATCTATACAAATGTTTGTTATACTCAAACGGAATAATGCGTAAAATGTCACTATTTACTTGAACAGTTTCTTCAAAACTGGATTCGTAATTATTTTGAAAATGAAATCAACACGTAAATGTGTTGATATCCAAATTAGTTGAAACATAAATGGTAAGCAATATTTTTCGAATATTGTACGAACATGCATTATCGCTTATAATCTTATCAATATCGGTGAATTTTGCGATGTAAAACGTCAAAATAAGACCAATTCGTGAATACGTAAATTCCCCTAGCTCATTTGTGTTTATTGGAAAATGGTGCTTCACACACACACACACACACACACACACACCTCGTACCTTCGTCAAGAAGCAAACAAAATGAGAGACAGATAGAGACGAAAAAAGAATCTAGTATGGGAAATGTTTGGCAATTGTGTACCTGATGTTGTCGCTATCAATCAGGTCAATGGGCAATTAAATCCATTGTGCATAAGTACTTAAGTAGTTCACAGTAGCATATACAGCACACATGTTGCGGACACATTAGTCAGACTCTGGCTAACGCATTCATAGACACATGGTCTCTGTATTTTCAATTGCTGTCTCATTCTTTATATACATCGCTCTTTGTCACATCATTTTAAAATTGAAAATTTTAACAACAAAAAATTAAAAAAAAAACTGACGACTGGCCTTTGAATGTAATTTGTTTTTTAATATTGGTCATATATGCGGAATTGCCACCTGGAAACACTGAATTATTGTTCAAACTGAACAAAGAACGCAAGTGTGGAAGCGCCATCACCACCATCATCATCAGTATCAATTGACATGGACAAAAGAGTCAGCTATTTCATGTCATCGGAAATGAGAGTTTGACAAATGATTTTTTCTTTTGTTTTAAAATCAATCGATACCAGTATGCAAATTGAATATTCTTTGGGTGGTTGATGATTATGTTTAAACAAAAATCCGAAGTTAATTTACTGAAATCTAAAAAGCGGCACATTTGTATGAAAACAACCATTAGCCAATGGACATGTAAGCCGCCAAATGACTACGTGACCAACTTGAATACAATTTTTTCCGTCTTCTCTCAGTTGTTCATATTTTTCGGGGTATTGAACAAAAACTCATTTTTTTATAATCAATTAGTAATCCATTACTGTCAAAATCAATATATTGCTTAATTCAAATAGCTGGTTTTTCAACCAAATGGTTGTACTGCATTCCATCATATCACACATGTGCTAATGTGTCGATTTGAAATGAATAAAAAAGAAGAAGGTAACAGATAAGAGAAAAACACAACAGAAAATAAAACAAAAAGACCTCCGACATCTCTTTAACATGATGAAAACCAAACTCAAATTATAATCACTCGGCATGTATATTGGCGTGCGCGTACACAAACACTGCACGATTTTGGTTTCACTCTTTTAGATGAGCAAATATATGCTTAGGTTGACCAAGAGTCATATTGGAACAGAAAGTGCATGAAAAACTTTTCAACTTTTAATCACTATTTTTTTACGTCCATTGATCACGCGAAACTTGACAACAACCAGAAGTTTTTTTCTTCTTGTTTAATTTCTTCATTCAAAAATACACGACGATTCATTTGTGTAGCACAACGATCGTATTATGACCAACGGCAACGCCGATTGATATGGCGAGAGTGCCATACCGTATGACAAACGAAAATGAGGTAAACATGGTGAAATTTTTTTTTGGTCAAGAAAGATTTTATTTTCATCATTTCTTTTCGTTACGTATTGACGGCGATGATATCGGTACGATACATCTGTCTGCGTATAAACGTGTATATATATTAATATTGATTAAATTTTTGGACTACTCATGAATGCTGCATCACAGAAGCTCTCACAGCATCATCTTTTTTTTAATAGTATGAAACGCAGATATCAATAAAATACATTTCAATCGGAATATGTATTATATAATTTTTGTAAAAAAAAGCGTGAATGCGCGAATTATAAATATTGATGTGATTTCCGTTACGTTGAAATAACAAACGTCAAATGTTTTACAATTAAAATCATCTTTCTTCATCAAATGAAGAACAAATAATAAAACGGTGTTTTGTTGATGTTTCGTTGCTTCTTATTTTAAGCATCAGCTGCAAACAAAATCTGTTCATTCTGATTGTTTACATTGAATTTAAGAAAAAAAAATGTTTAGGAGAGAGTGATCATTCTTTTTTATCGTGTGTATCATTTGAAGGCGATAATTATAATTCGACATTATAGAATATTATAGAATGATGCTTTGATTCAAATTTCATTTTTAAATAAAGAATCCTTAACTTATTTGAAAAAATAATAACAATAAAATTAATTCAAAAAATTAAGAACGAGTATCGTTTGAACATTTTGAGTTAGAACTTTTTTCTTCGGTAACATTGTTGAAAATGAAAAAGAAAATCTAGGTGTATATAATCTATTCTTAAGATTGCTTTTTGTTTTGTGATTTTACAATTAGATAGAATTTGCACAATAAACTGAATTCGTTCTACATACCTCAATGCTGTATGATTTTTTGATAGCGAACATTTCGCGGTTTTTCTGAGCTGCTGCAACGGCCATCATTTTGTTTATTTTTCTTTTGTTTATCGAAGATTCAAATAAAAAATCACTTGATTATATTCACTTAATCACTGCGTTGATGCTCTCGCGTTAAATTCAATTGTCGCGATAAAAAAAATATATATATATAATAATTTGTGTCTAAAAATGCTCTGGATCACTAACTCGTTTTCAAAAATTAAAATTCGAAAATCACTTTGATTGAAATTTTGTCTCTTCTTTTTTTACTCTTTGCCAATTTTTATTACAACAAATTCGTTTTACTTTTTTTAAAAACAGAAAAAATAAAAACTTCTTTTTTTAGTTATGTGCGTATCTTGTTATGCAAACGAACAAAAAAGGAACTTTTTTCTTGGGTCGTTTATCTTTTCTGTTTTTCTTTTTCGAAAAAATTTCTTTTTCTTTATAATGTTTATGTTGCGAGTGCAAGCAAACCAATGCAAGATCGTTTCATTTGCAATCAGTTTAAATACAAAATAGCGCTCACATGTCTCTCGAAATAGCGCAGCATAGAGGTTGAAACTTCTCCACAATCGTACACATAGACACGCACCATGTGTGTATATGTGCGCGCCTGTTTTGTGTTTACATTTGCCTTTGAATTGTGTATAAACTAAGCTCTTCTCTCGAACTGTGCACGCAGTGAAAACATAGCTGCTTTGATTCAGTTATATGCCCCCTTCCTTGGACAGTTTATTTTTGTGTATGTTGAACGTAAACAATTGTTGTTGTTGCCACTACTACAACAACTTCTACGCAACGATGTGAGGCGACATACGTCAAAAAAACTCAATCAAAGCACCATACAATAATAAGATTGAACCTGTGAACGTAAACGGGATAGAAGATGTTTGGAGTGCAACAAGAATAGTGGAATTTTTGAATGTGCGTGCCAAACTGGCCAGTCAGAACCACCCAAAACAAGTGAAACTTTATTTCCAGTAGAAGCATCTGGCCCTTCAACTACAACAACACTATTGGCACATGTTATCGTTAGAATGAGCTCGAAAATTAAAAGAATAATTTGATTTGTTGTTGTTGTTGTTGTTTCTATTTCAAATCGATATGCTCGATAGAGTAAACTAGATGTAATTAGCATTGTGCTTTATCTATTTGAGTCTCGTTTTTTTTTGAATATTTTCTCGTTCATACATTGTTTATCTTTCATCCAATAATGGTATTGCCGATAAAAGAAATCAAGAGTGGTTGTTTTTGTCTTGGTCATATTTCAGCGTATCATTCTGCCGCATATGTCGTTCTTTCTCACATTTTGTTTGTATTAGTTTCGTTGTTTTTTTTCCTCTTTGCTTTTCTATGTGTTTATTTTGCATTCGATACTATCGGTCACCGCACCGTACGTTTTGCTGTATTGCCTTTAAAATTTGATCAAGCGGCTAACGATCTATCGTCTGAAGAGGTATGATGTCACGCGTGCGTCATAAAATTTACGTTTGGATTTTTTGCCATTTGAGTAAATCGATCGAAACAAAAAGTACCCAATGTATTTAAGTATTTCATTGGAATCGATTGTGCGCAGTGTACGGTGACCGAACAACATTGATGCCGCTGACGATACCGCTACCGTCTGCTTTGCGTTTTTTTCCCATTGTAAATCTTTGTTCATCACTCACGTTCATCAAGCACGCATCTTTGTTATGATGCTCGCTTTGGCACCTTTTTTTCTCCTCTGCTTACGATTGACCGTATAATTTCATCAATGGATTTGTGGTTAATTTATGAATATATCAAATCACCAAATTGAACGGAAATTTACGCCCATGTTATTTTGATTTGAATAAAAAAATAATGGCTCTGTTTAGATTCCCGGAAAAGGTTTGGGGTTTTTTTTTAAGTTTTCCCATTTACATAAATCGCTAAAACATACGTTGTTGTTTTTTCATGCACCTTAATTGATTTTTTGGTGATCGATATAGAAAATGAATACGTATACTTTTGATCTCTTCTAAATAAGAGTGACTTCTTCATTTCTGTATACTTTCTTTGGAATTTTGAAGGGTGAAAAATGACAGATTTTGTGAGGAATATTTCATACATTCAAAATTCAAACGGTTGTATTTTTGAAACTCATGAATATTTTTTGATGAAACTTAACTGGTTGAGTTTCCATTGATAGAACAATAAGTGTACAAAAGTTAAAGAGTATCAAAGAGTAGCTATTTCCAGAATATATTAAATATTTCCTCAAAAAATTGTCGATTTGTATGAAATTATATGAAAGATATTTGCTTGGAATCAAAAGTATTTGCTTGGTTCTGACGGCACTGTATATAAAATACAATCATATTCAATCGATTACACCAATTCAAAAATGATAAAATCTTTTCATAAAATCTCTCAGATATTATATGGATATCTTCGATTTGTGTGATATTTTCCGTAAAAGTCAAACGACTTTATTTTTTTAAAAAATGCTGTTATAATTGCTCCAATTATTATCAACTTTGTGGTTTTTCTACTTCGATTTATTTGAGTCATTGCTTCTTTCCCGTTTACGTCAGAAAACTTTCTGACCTGAGAACATCACTTGTTCTGGTAGTACTGGTATTCACCAAAAAACTCGTTTTTTTTAATTTGGTTTTTAAAGCCGAACCATTGGAACGACACGTGCTTCTTAGAAACTTTTTGACTTTAAATTTAAGTAATTATGTATTTTGACCGTAAACATACGTTATTTTAGAGATATAATTTTCCAAATTAGGTGTGCAAAAATCCATAAAATTTCATAATGGCAAAATTGATATTGGCAGTGATAGGATTCCCATTTCGTCACCAAAAAGCAATTGCGAATGGGAAACGAAAACAAAACCGTTATAAAGTCGATGTTATTTATCACCGAAAGTTTCACATGAATGATCTGTATTTTAAAATGACGTTGAAGTTTTTTTTTTGTTCATAATTTTTGGTAATAGGTGATTTATTTGGTCTGGTATTATTTCTATTGGTATTTACAATAGACAAAGTCTGGAATATAGAAAAAAAAATTCGATAATTTATTTTTTCAGAAAAAAAAAATGGCGGTGATCTACCTTCATGAGTCATATGAGTTGCCGTGATTTTAGATTTAAAGATCATTGACATTACCATAGAACGAAAGTGAGACTTATAAGGCCATTACATTGAAATCAACCCAACAAGCACTAGAATACATGTATTTTAAGTTGTATGTTTTAAAATAAGATATAATATACGATTTTATTATATAGATATAGGTAAATAGTTAGTGGTTCAATTGCAGTTATAATGCGCATGCGTAAGTCGACAAATATGTTCTCTTCACAGAGCACTTGATCTTGAAAATTCATTCATTAATTCACTTTTACTTTCGACATTGTACATAGACTTGCGCGCCGCAATCATTCGCAATGGTCATTACCTCCCATATTTTTTTTGTTCATCTGTTTAATATACTCAGCCTATGATCATCAATAGGTTGTTACAAGAATTACTAAACGACTAATTTTTTTTTTGCCTAATACAATTTTTAATACAATTTTTTTTTGTGTGATAAATTCAGGTAGAAAATTCCAATCTGAAAATTGAATGCATAGAGAGGAGCAAAATGAAACCAAAAACCATTAGGTCAATATCTACTTCACAGGCCATAGTTGTTTGCAATAAATTTAATTGATTTTTGCATGTTCATTCTTTCATGCATTGACCAATGCAATCTCAATCGTTGTCGAATACAAATGTAACCTTTTTTTCTGCTGGTAATTTTTTTTTATTATTATTATTTTTTTCATTCACACAAAACAAACCAACTACAAATGTGGTGTGATGCACTATGTACGAACCTGTACCGCATTAATGTCACCAATACAAATTACATAAATAAAACAATTTGATTACTGTATTTGCGCGGCTTTGTGTCTCATCTAAATCGTTTCAAGGCATTACCCATTTATGATTCTCATATGCGCACATAGTATAAACATATCATTTTGTTTTGTAGAGGCACTATACGCTGTAATCAGTTCTTTTCTCACATAAAATATGTTTTGTCTTGTGTGTATATGAACGAAAAAAAAAGAATGAATTAATAAGTAGTGAGTATAAAAAAAACACTATATGCATTCATACTTAATACATTTTAAAAGGCATTACAAACAATGCAAAACGGATCGGAAGCGTAGACCGTGATAGGTCTCAACAGAGTTATAAAAAAAAAATTAAATCGGTAATTAACCGAAAAGAACGATTGCAACAAAATGTGGAACAGCGATTTTTACGCTGATAAACAAGTAATTTGACACTTGCACGAATTCACCGAACGAACTTCTTTTTGTTTTTTTTTCTTTATTTATTATTTTTATTCAATTTATTTTCCATTGTGGTTGTTTTGACTTTCTAATAAAAAAAAAGAAACAAATTAAATGACTCATTCGATCGCATTCGATTCAAAGCGCGAAGGCAATTAATTTCAGCGAATATATTCGGAAATTGAGTTTGGGCCATCAAAAACCGCCAATTAAATTAATCATTTGATTTGTTTTATCTTTTACATTATCTTTTTGGACCATCATTTTATTCCATTTAAAGCATCAATTCCCTGTTTAGTTTATTTAAAGTGCAGTCACATCTATCATCGAAAATTATAACCTTACGATTACGGTGACCTGAATTATCGATAAATATCCACGAATGATGATAAAACTAGCAAGTAAAAAAATGATTCGGCATATTTCAATCTATCTGTAGTTGCTTGAAAATCGAATAGAAACAAGCACAACACTTCAAGTAATTAATTACGATATTGTACCACGGATTGACCTACGTTTGGTAAACGTTAATATCCATTCGAATTTAGAAGAAGAAAAAAAAGAATGAAGAAAAACCTCAATAAATTGAAGTATGTTTATGATTCATGTGATTTTTTTTTGTTGTTGCCTAGATTAAAAGCCGGACATCACACCGTACACATTTACATAGTAGTTTGTTTAGTTTAATTATTATTTAGTATATCATGCACGATGCAGAATGATTCCAATACTCACCCAGTGACTTTGGCGAATGTAAAAATAAACGACTGTAAAATGATTTAATTGATTTAAGCAAATAATAAAGGAAAATTGACGAGGAAAAAATTGCATTAAATTAAATTGGAGACTGTTGAAATTTTAAAGTTTTTCACACAACATTTTTAAGTCGAAATCTGACATGCGATATAACAAAACAAAAAAAAGTCTATTATGTCGAAAAAAAATGACACGCTTTACTTTAATTAGTCAATTTATACAAAAGAAGAGAAAAAAAAGCATTGTCGCGGCAAATGAGTACCGGGTTCTGATGACACAATTGATGAATTAAATGGGTGTTTTAATGAAAATTCAAATGTCAATTGAGAATTAAGTAGATCCTATTAGACGGACACGCTAGATTTTATTAATGACGTAGTTTAAACGTATATATAATCCAGCTCATTATTTGTCAGTCTGGACAGTACAAGTGGAAGAGCAATGTTCATTGTCATTTATCTATGTTAAAATGGAAGTGAATAATGGTAAAAAAATGTTTCGTTTTCTTCTTTTTCAAAAAAAAAAATGTCATTCGAATTGAAGCAAACCTTTTTATTTTCACGGAAGAAGAGGAGAAGTAATCGAGCATATGCTTTGTATTTGTTTTGATTGGATTGAATCGAAGTAAAATAAAAAATAAAAACTTGATTGCTGAAATGGTAGACAAGAGGTATTTTATATAAATTCTTTAATTGACCAAGTAAGAACAAAGTCAATTCTACACACAATTTTCATACAGAGATTTTATAATAATCATCAAGCGCAAATGAACAAAGTACAGCAAAGAACCAGTTTTGCGTTTGCGATCAGTGGTTTTTTTTCTTCTCTTGCTTGATTTTACTAACCGCTTTACGGTTTCACATTGATTGAGATGAAGAAAAAAAACACACTTGCATTCAATTACTTGATACTTCTTCTTGTAATCGAATTATCTGTTATTTGATGAGTGTCTGCATTTTTTTCTCTTTCAGGACTACATTAATAAAACGCACTATTTTTCTTTTCATTCAAATAATCTTTTTTTTACCATTTTTGTTGCGATAGCATACTTTTTTCTCGATCGATATTGTATCTACTACACAAAGCCATTTTAATGTCGATCCAACAAATTTGAATGATTTTTGTTTTGTTTGAAAAATCTGCAGTAATCATTCCTCTCTTTGCTATTATCCAATAAAAGTCGAATAGTTATTAGCAACATTCTACCCATGCCAATCTGTCCATGCCAATCTGTCTACGCAATTAAAATGCCGTACGATTCGATCTTCAAAACATCAAATACGTGGAATATCCAGATACGCAAAATGCATTTAGTGTAAAGATGACGAGGTTTGTTGATTGCGTTTGGTGCGCGATGACGTATTTTCCATTTAAACGCGGGGAATCACGCTACACACACATGTATGCATCTTCTTTTTTTTTCCTTTTCGATAGGAAAAAGTGCATATGTAACTGACCAATTGAGTGAAGAGTAAAAAAATAAATAAAAGCATGTTGATGGATTTTAAATGGTCGTAGTAAACAATCTTTTGATATCAATATATCCATGTCTTCTGGCTGTTTTCAAAGTGATTAAGCGACGATTCAAAGATCGTTGTACACCGCATATGTTTTAAAATGCAAAACGTAAACTGATAGCGTCATTTATGTATTCAAATTGGTGTCATTATTGCTGTATCAACGCTTTTCGTATATTTTATCGTGTTCGTTTTCATTTGTTGTCGTTGTTGTTGTCACTTTTTTCGTTGCTGCTCCATTTTGAGCGAATGAATGAATAATCATTGTTTGTATTATGATTTAGTTCTTTGAAAGAGATTTCGGAAGTTTTTCATTTCATATTTGATATGTGTTGACTGGTGCAATTTTTGTTTTGTTTGCTGTATTTAGATTCACACATTTTTGAGTATAAATATAATGCATTTTGAATAATTCAATCATTCTGTCTATTGTTAACCACCTGGAATGACATTCATTGACACACAATAAAAATGAATCGAAACATTTTTATAGTTGCACTATTTGCTGTGTCTGGTATTCATTGCCGCAGCATTTTTATACCATTTGAATCGTTTGCACCGTACGACGAGCAAAGTGGACAGTTTAATCATTTACTGAAACGGGAAAAGAAACAGACGGTATGTTAACATGGGATATGCAATAGCAATTGGAAAATCCCATAAAAGACATATGCATTCAATTGGTTGGTTTTTTTTTATTAATTTCACTTTGCAATCGTGTTTTTTCTCATTTCAGGAAAATCCATCCGAATTCGAACAAGATTCAGTCGCTGATGCATTTAACTTTCATCCATTATTTGCTGAAAGAGATAAACCATTATCAAAGACACCAGTTTTACAAGGTAACAAATGCATTTTTCTAAATATCAGCTCTATTTTACGGCTCTTATTTTACATATCATAAACTTTTTTTTTAGCTTCAAACGTTTTTGTTCCTGGTCCAATTTTACCAGCAGGTAAATTCCGTTTTTCTTTATACATTCAAGCGCTTCACACCAATTATTTTGTACTGAAAAATTGTATGTTTCTTTTTCTTCAGCGGCAAATTCATTAAATGAGCATCAACAAAACGACTTTGATAATGTTCATCGCCACGAACAACGTCCATTCGAAGTGCAAAACTCTGCAATACCATCACTTTTTCCAGACCTTCCAAACCCAAACGATGTGATGAAGAAGCTACGCTCAATGTTTGATAACAGTCAATTTGTTGGTGAGAAACTACTATCAAATGATCCAAAATCATCACTTCGAACATATTCATCGGAGTATCCCGTGCAGTATAACTCAAAATATGAACGAAACTATGGGTCAGCATATGGAGCTCCTCAATCAATTCCACAGCCACAGTATGAACAGTCGTTCGTTCCAATTTCGCCAAATTATGAACCGCCTCAATATGCACCACAACAATATGCACCACCATCGTCATGTGGATCGAATTTACTTATTGGTTGTCGGCCTCAAGTACAAAGCGTTCCGTGTTTCTCTCAACAATCGTATAGTCCGCCAGTTGCCTACGACATTCGGCCAAATCCAGTCGAATATATCCCGCGACCATCATACAGACCCAACTACAATCGGCCATCATATCCATCATATCCATCTTCGTCGCCGTATAATGCACCGATCAAACCAGACATCAATCCACCAAATTCGCCAGCATATCATTCTGCTCCTGTTCATCCACCTTCTCTTGATGTCTATTCACAACCTGGCCCACCCTATCCGGAACCGATTCTATCGTCAGTTCACAATCCAACCGAAGCACAAGAGCAACTGGAAGATGAGGAAAGGACGACAACTAAGTTACGACAAGACAGCGAACCCGAACCAAGTAACATTGAGAAGAAGACCGATGCGTGCGAAACTAATCGTGAGAGTATAACAAGTGCAATTAATCCGATGACAGAATCAACGACATCACCAATTGATGGCGGAACAACACTTAGGTCATCAACTGAAGATCAAATTCGTCGATTGCATGAAAAACTCGACACCCATGTGGAAAATATACAAAAATTCAAAGAGGAGGCAGAAAAGAAATTACGCTTTGCAATTGAAAGATCAAGTATTAGTTCGTCGGACGACTCCGATGAAATAAATAGTGTTTTTGGTGAGCCAATGAGGTTTGCAAAACGACACATAAATCGTGACCACATTTATAACTCCGTTTGGTAGTTTAACTGGCATAAATGATGAATAATTTGTTCCGTTTAAAGTGACAATTTACGGAAATTGCTCCACATTTCAAACCATTTGTATTAACATTTCCTTTATTTATTTTTAATTGTTTGCTTATTTATTATTTTTCAATTAAAGAAAAACATTTGAAATCATCAGATATTTTAATAGTAAAATTGTTGTGATTTTTTTTTTATTCAATCATTGACCAAACATAAAATGTTTATTACTTTGCAAAATTACATCGAAGAAAATGCAAAACAAAAGTAGAATTGAAACGATCGATTTAAAATCTACGCTATATAAAGCTGTCATTATCGTATTATTCATACACCGTCATTTCATGTTGACACTTTAAGTGTTATTCTTGATCTCTTTCTTTCTCTAAAACGTTCTCTTCAATAAAATATGACAATAAATACTAAATTATGACATTAAATGCTGATTTTGATAAACTTTTAATTACACACTTTTACGATAGTCAAGAGAACAAACATAACCTATTGCATTTAAATGACTGCAACAGGTGACTCCAAATGCAATAAACGATCACTATCATTTCTGCCGCATTGAAGCAAAAAAAAAGTTGGCAACAAATTTCAAAGTATTGAACCGATGGAATTTATTATACAGAATTGCTACTAAAAGTCATGCTTGGGATTTTTTTTTTTTAGTTTTGAGAAAAATAATGCGGTCAATCTACTCGTTACAGCTTCGTGGTTGTAAGAACTTTTATGCGGTTGTAATTCATGTGGAAAAACACAGATAAGGGGATTTCCAATTTTTTTTTTTGGTTTTGCTTCTTTTATGTTCTTTCTTAAATTTGGCTTCGCCGGTGTTGTTGTTTTCGTGGAAACACACGCGTCGTTAATTAACACAAAACCCTTTTTGAAGCATATTTTTTCATATCTGGACAGGTGAAACAGTACAAAACGAATAACGTGCGTTTTGTGCACCTACACAATTACCAACACCGAAGCAAATAAACCTTACCTTGGCATCAATTAAAATTCTAAATTGCCTTTGTATGCTTCGTCGATAATTTGAAGCAACAAAAAAACAGAAACAACAATAATGACGACAACGACGGCGGCGACGACGACAACGAAAAAATTGCAACGGCAATAACAAATTATTCGAAACTTATTGAAAACCAAGCAAATCAATAAAAATGCTAGCAAAATAAGTCAAACGGGTAACATCGCGCACATATCGTTCTTATTAAATGCAGCATTCAACTTTATATTGGCTGAAAAGCAATTGAACATGCAGAAACGTACACGCACTAGAGCGCGTCTAACATTGGCCAAATGGCAATAGAAACAGCCGCATCGAGAAAAAAACACACACACACATTCAACAACTCATAGACACGAGATTCAGAATCGAAATATCACTTTACATTATTATTTGTATTATTACATATTACATAGTTTGTGAGATAGATGTTCCTACTATCGGCTTGCGATGCGTTTTAAAATGTTGTATTCGTGTCGCTTTTATTCAAATATTATGTTCATCTATTTTGATTGTTTGTCAATAATTGAAATTTTATGTAATAAAATTCGAAATAAAATTCTAAGCCGTCAATTATCGCAATGTTTTGAATCAATTCTGCACGCATTTTCTCAGAAAAGAAGATTAAACAGTGTTGTGCGTAGTAAAAAAAAAGATGCGATTTGATCAACTTCAGTTGAGATAAAATTGTCATATTTTTTTTAACTCTGAACAGTTTGCGTGTGATAGCAACCGTATATAAATCAAATACCTATATATTGTTTATATTATAAGCGTTGACCCTGACATCGAATGGTTCAGCACACAATATGAAGCGATATTGTGCTATTTGCTGATTGTCATTAACATCTTGTTCTGGTTTATATAGTATATACATCTATTCAATGTGAATTGTATTTTTTTTGTCTTCGCTTCTTTATCGTTTTCAACTTGCATGAATATTAAACATATCAGCTGACATCGTGGTTGCGAATGTTCTGTATGGCACTAGCACGTGTAAGCATATTATTGTTTTCGTTTTACGATCGAACAATTTTGACAAACATAAACGGATGAAATGTTCCGGTATCGAAGTTATCCGCAAATATAGTACTATGCTTATATGATCGGACAAACTCTCTTCATCCATCCATCATCTAGTTGCTTTATTTACCCAATTTAGATGTCGAAAACAAGTTATTTACGAAATTCAAGTGTCGGAAATAATATGGTTTGGTATCATTAAAAAAAACATCTCGAATCCATAAAATGTGTATGTAAATGATTTTGATTTGTGTGATTGTTTTTATATATCTATTGCTGCTTAGAGAAAGAAAAAGCGATTCACCGTGAATTCTTATGTATACATGTGTTGTTGTTGTGTTTCCCAAACAGCATTACAAAGTTAAATTCCTTCTAATGCCCGTCAATTAAACGGACACTTCCTTATTTACATTTCGCTTAGACCAAAATTGGACAACACCGTTGCATGCTCTCTTGATATATTATTGCTTGAAAGGAAATGAGCAAAATTGAGAAGAACACAGAAAAAAAACAGAGACAAAATGATAATATCCATTCACATTATAAGTAAATGCATACAAACACAGTACACTGCTAGAGAGTGTAAGTGATCGGTTTAGCCCTGAAAATACATCATTTAAATCTAAATTAAATACACGAATAAAGTGAATTGGATTCCAATGAATCAGCTGAAACTTGTCAAGTCAAGTTTGCACACACACATATGTAAACATTTTCTCGGTCCGTTTGAAATTTGCTGTTTTTTTTATCACACACATACACACTGTGATAAAGAATTTCAGCTGTTAAATGACAACACTTAACGCTTGCGTGTGGCATTTTTTTTATCTCAAAATGATCTATGAATCATTATTTTCCTTTGTTTATTAATGAAATCCTTTTCGACATTTTTTCCTCTTTATTCCTCTTTTGAGCCAGAAAGATTGAACGAAACAAAAAATTACATTTTTTCCGGAATGAACAAAAACAATCAACTCAAAAACCAGTTGAATGGAAACGATTGGTATTAAGATAGAATTGAGGAATCATTGGGACGATTAAATTGAAAGAACAAGAACGATTGAGTGATTGTTCATGAATTACAGTTAACTATAGATGACGCCATTTGAGTGTACAAAAACCTATTAAAACGGTTTAAACTTTATATGCAAGTTTTTTTTTTGTTCACTTTGATCGATCCGAAGTGACAATACTGCATTTGCGTACTTCTACAGCATGTAAACTAAATACGCTTTGTTTCATTGTATGTTGAGTTTTTGTTTCTATTTTCTGTGGTGTTCATGTAGATAAGCCGTTTTATTATGTGTGTATAAGATCGCCCGGTTTTTCGAGGCAAAACCCGGACGAAAAATCATCCGGCCCCGGTCCGGATTTTTTTAAACCATTTTTGTCGATTTTTCAAGATTTTTAAATTCAATCAATTGGGATTCTTTTCTTGTCGAGAGTTTTTTTCAGAATTTTTGATTTTGACAAAATCACCTTTTAAAAAAAGGATATGTAATAAATAAATTAAAAATCAATTTCGCTCTGATTTCTCCCGGATTTACAGTTCACAATTTTGAATCGCATCCGGTCCGGATCGACGTAAAGAAGAAAATCTGCCAGCCTCATGCATAAGTATATATATGGTAAGTCGTTTTAACCCTTGATTTCGTGATCACTGTATCAGCTGTTGGCTTTAGTAATTTATGCATTTCATGCGATCTTTGTTACTTAGTGCCATGCATCTATTCCAGAATTAGTGTTTTTTTTTAATTCGTGCTTGAAGTTCGCAACAGAAATGTCACAAATGTATAATATTCATGAGATAATGATCAATTCTATGTCGTTTGTTTAGAAAAAATGTTATGCGTCAAGCATTTTACAATCGTTTTTTATTTAATTTTAATTAATTTCAAAAATGCTCAAGTTGATACTTTCACATTCAATTAACGTAAAATCGCATGGGGTCTTTATTCAGTGTGTAAATGTAGTGTACTTTAGATTGTTGATCCTGTTTAATGTATCAGTCATCAATTCAAGAATATAAAGAAAACGAGATGTTACATAGAATCGATGTCTATGTTGTTGTTTTTTTTCGTGTTCTTTATTCGAACAATCAATTTTTTTTTGCTTTGAATATTGAAATTGCAAGTGGTATTATCTCTCTTTGCATCTCTTTCTTATTGCTGACTAATCGCCTATGACTCTGAGATAGCATCGAAGAGAAGAAAAAAAACACACACACACACACACAACATCATGTTAAACCATAATAGTTACAAGCTGAACATGAACAGAGATCGCAAAGCACAAAAACCTCTCTACCGTGCACTACGTGACGAATCGAAACGCGCACGTCTACTAGTTATAGATGCAATTATGTGAAAATGTAAGCATTTGTTGAACACCAATGTAACAATTGCGGTGTGTATGACCTTCGCTTGAGCAGCGGTTATAAGAAATACGAACGAAAAAAAAAATGATCAACATCACAAAGAGTTCGTTAAATTGAAGGCACTAAATAAAATGCTGTCCAAGATCATGGAAACTCAAAGATCAATTCGTGCACTAGTTCATGTCATTATTTCGCGGTTATCTTGCATTATCGTATTTATCGTTTACATGTAAGAGCGCACATCAAGGCAAACACGAACACACGATACCAAATTTGTCTAGGAGTTTAAACACTGATCCATTTTAAATCCTTGTGTAACTTAGAATTAATTTGTGCTGTTATAGAGGAAAAAGTTGAACAGTAATGTTAATTTAAAAAAAAAGAGTGACAAGAACGTTGGATGGTAATGTCGGTGTAGAAAATTGCATTCGGGCAAGAAACGAAGAAACTTGATCGATTGCAGCCGAAAGCTTTATTTGTTAAATTCCAAACTGTATGTATCGCTTGTGTTCGCATCTTTTGCTCAATTATAATAAATGGGAAAATCTGATGAATAAATAACAGAGCGAATGGCCGATGAACAGAATGACACAGCAACGTTGTTATAGATAATACACAGACATCTACATCGTTCGTATGTTTCACATATAGAATGTAAGACGCATCAGAACACAAGAGTGACAA